CAACATGTTAACCGCAATCCTTAGAAGAACTTCTTCCAACCTCTCAAGGCGCGCTTTCCTGGCCGTCGTAATCTCCGCCAGCAACGACTTCCGGCCACTCTCCCCGGCCTTCATTCCAAGAAACTTCCATTCCAAATCGGGTCCGTTGAATTTCCGTTCTTCTGTATATCACCGCGCGGAATATGCTGTAGACGATTTCCCTTACGAAGAAGGGTCTAAAGGGAACGCCGAGGAAGGACTCGAGATCGCGAAGCTCGGAATCTCTCAGGATATTGTCTCAGCTTTGGCCAAGAAAGGCATCACCAAGCTCTTCCCCATTCAGGTTTGCTTTGCTTCTAAGGGTTTATGCGATGATGCATAGCATGATATGCGGTTTATAAGGATTAAAGACGCGTAGTTTAGTAGCTTTGAGTTATGCTAACGTTTTTTTTAGTTAATTGGGTTGTTGTATTGCAGAGGGCCGTGCTGGAACCTGCCATGCAAGGTCGTGATATGATTGGTCGAGCTAGGACTGGAACTGGGAAGACTCTTGCATTTGGGATACCCATCATGGATAAGATCATTCAGTTTAATGCGAAGCATGGGTTGGTTCTATATTTTTATGTTATCGTGATACTTATGCTTCCTTATTACCTAAATTTTGCACTTGTTTCTCTGTTAGAGTTGAATGTGGACTTGGTAATTCATGATGGTGTGGATATAATCATGGAAATGTTATTTGTGTCTTTAACTATACATTTTTTTTGTGTGATTGATGTTGCAGGCGGGGGAGGGATCCTTTGGCTTTAGTTCTGGCTCCAACTAGGGAGCTTGCTAAGCAGGTTGAGAAGGAATTCTATGAGTCGGCACCTAACTTGGATACAATTTGTGTTTATGGGGGTACGCCAATCTCTAAGCAGATGAGGCAGCTCGATTATGGGGTTGATATTGCTGTGGGAACACCTGGTCGGATTATTGACCTTCTCAACAGAGGTGCTCTAAATCTGAAGGAAGTTCAATTTGTTGTTCTTGATGAAGCTGATCAGATGCTTCAAATCGGCTTCCAGGAGGAAGTGGAGAGGATCTTGGAAAGGTTGCCCGCCAAACGTCAGACTCTTATGTTCTCTGCAACAATGCCATCTTGGATAAAGCAGATTTCACGCAATTACCTGAATGATCCCCTGACAATTGATCTAGTAAGCTTGAAACTCCATTCTAGGCACTAGGACAATGCCTGTAACCTGTGCAATTCTGAGATATCATTTAGTTTGATTTGAATATAATGTACAAAATAAACACAGTAGATTATGTTGTGGGGCGCATGAACTTCTTTGAGTAATTAGTTTATCATGTTTTAACGTCTCTACATTGTGGGCATGTGTGGGAGTACACGAGAGTTATTTTATAACTGTAAATTTATTGGTGCTGTAGGTTGGAGATTCTGATCAGAAGTTAGCAGATGGAATTTCACTGTATTCCATTGCATCTGACTTATATGTTAAAGCGGGAATTCTTGCGCAGCTAATAACAGTATGCCTTCTGAAACCATCATTTACTGACTTGATTGGTAGTTCTGATTAGTGATTGTTAATGTGTTTGAAAACCACCTCACTAGTGGTCAATCATAGCCTGCCTTAGTTGCATTGTGTTAGGAGGTGGCTGCCTCAACGGAAACCTCAATGGTGGTGCTTAGTCCCTCCTCAGCTAGAGATATGATATAAAATTAAATAGAGCTTGTAAAGGTTGACGAGTCCTTACTTTATAAGTAAGTTTTGTGGAGTTGTGTTAGGTTTCAGAGCTAAATTCCTAGACTAAAATTACTGTATTGCAAATAGGTTTCTGGAGTTTTATTACGTTTTTCCCTTAAGCTTTTACTAGAATATATATGTGTGTGTAATTAGAGGGTGAGCATTGGTGCAAGGGTAAGGTTGGTTCCCTGTGACCCAGAGGTCATAGGTGCAAATCCTGGACACAGCCGCTTGCTTGTGGTGGTAAATCTGTGTACACCCACTGTCCTTAGACCCCACTAGGTGGTAGCCTTCGGCATTAGATTGCCCTTTTATGTATTTTAATTAGAAAAAACTACTTGAGGAAACTTGCTGGATTTCTTTCTTTCTCTCCGTTTCCTAAATATATATCCTTTGTTAGGAACATGCAAAAGGAGGAAAGTGTATTGTTTTCACTCAAACAAAACGTGATGCAGACCGATTATCATATACCATGGCAAAAAGTGTTCAATGTGAGGCTTTGCACGGAGACATATCACAAGCTCAGAGGGAAAAAACTCTTGCTGGCTTCAGAAATGGCCATTTTAATGTTTTGGTGGCAACTGATGTTGCCTCACGTGGGCTTGATATACCCAATGTTGATCTTGTGAGTTCTGTTTTACTGTTTTTTTATTTCTATTGCAAATTATCGTATGCTTGATTGAATTTGAAGACAAGGTATCATTTTCTTGATGATATGTCCTTGACTATTAGTTATTGATTTTTCTTGTCAATGTATTTGATATATTTGATAATCATGCAACACTCTTGGTTTATTCTGTCATCGGTCTGTACTGTTCATGGTTCTGTAAATTTTGGATGTCGCTTAGATTGTATTTCTCTGTTTGATTTCTTATTGTTCCGTGTTTGTAGTCTTTCTCAATGTGCCATTCTTTATGTTTAATGTCATGTGCATATGTAAATACTGTGATATATTATGGAGAATATTGTTATCGTTTCATGCAATTTATAGATACGAAATTTTGACTTGCTTTCCTGTTATAGGTAATACATTATGATCTTCCCAATTCTTCAGAAATATTTGTTCATAGATCTGGACGGACAGGTCGTGCTGGTAAGAAAGGAACTGCTATTCTTGTGTATACAGAAGATCAATCAAGGGCTGTGAGGCTTATTGAGCGTGATGTGGGAAGTAGATTTACAGAGGTGATTCTTTTCCTGGCATCTTATTGAATTTTGTCCATCTTTTCCACTGGAAGTTGTACCTTGTTAATTACTAATTTTATGGTCATTAAGATTGAGGCTACACTATTAGGGAAGCATATATTCCTGTTGCCTAAAATCCCATCCTTCCTATGCACAATTTGATCTAAACCTGTTCATGATTAGTTTGCGAGTCAGATTGCCCTGGAAATTGATAAACTCAATCTGAAATTTTCTCTATTCAATATATCTAAACAGCCAGGGACCTACTATCCCATAGTTATTATTACCGTTTTCCAGTGTTCTCGCTAATATGCTAATTACATGTTAAAGTTTGGTATTTTTTATTTACATAATTATTTATTGGTTGTTTTCTGTTCCTGTATTCATATTTTTCAGCTACCAAGGATAGCTGTTGATAGTGCATCCATGGACACAGTTGGCATGGGTGGTGGGCGGTTTGGGTCTTTCGGAGGAACTAGGGATCGTCGTTATGGTGACACAGGTTTTGGCCGTGGTCCTGGGTCTGGCCGTTCTGGTGGCTACAATAACAGTGGATTTGGCCGCCCCAGCTTTGGAGATTCTGGTGAAAGGTTTGGTGGACAGAATTATAATCGTTTTGGTGGCTCTGGTTCCAGTCAATCAGGAGGGGGGTTTTCTGGTGAAATGAGTAGATATGGTGGACCAAGCTCTGGTAGGTTTGGCTCATCTGGTGGCTTTGGCTCAGGTCAATCAGGAAGCAGATCTGGTCGATCATCCGGTGGGTCTAGGTTTAGTCGTCCAGATGATTTTGGGGGATTTGGTAGTTCAGATCGTTCGGGAGGTTTTGGAGAACTTGGCTCGGGTCAATCTAGTGGCTTTGGTGATTCTCGTGGTAGTAATCAGAACAATAGAAGACCTTTTTAACATAACAATATAAAAAAAGTTGCGCTACCCTTATTTCTTGGTGGTTTAGTTCTTCTAGAGTTTGCATCTGTCACTTTCTCTGAAACTTAAAGGCGGCTTCTTGGCTAGTCCTTGTATTACTAATTAGTAAGAATTTGGGAAGGTCATACAATCAGAAGTTCTACGAGTATAGGATATTTCTTTTCTGGGACTTTTGGCTCAGTCTTAGGTCTGTTATTTTTTGAAAACATCTATAAAAAGGAGAAAGGAAGGCTGTATTCTGAGGGTTCCACCTCCATCCATGGACATTGAATCTCACAATGATTCTGAAAATGTGTACACACGTATATGCGTGCATGAAAAGTTTTGAAGAGGGAGCTGTATGAAGTGGTGATTCAATTTATTTAGTGTATTTATGTTGCTTAAAGTAGTTAATGGGAGGTGCTTTGGATAATCATGTGGAGATATGCTGTACTATTTTATACTGAAATTATTATGCAAGAAATTTCTCATCTAATATGTAATTTGACCTAAAAGCAATTTAATTTTCGCCCCTTCACCCTGGGTTACATCTGGGGGTTCATAAATAGTCTGAGAATCATGTGTATTAGATCCTGTCTTTCCTGGTTTTTATTTTCGGCCTAAAACAGATGCAAGCTCCATTAATCCAAGAGGTCTAGAAAGTAATGTTTATAAAAATAAACACAACAGTGACAGAAATTTGTTTTCTGAAAATTCGGAAGGAGAATTATACCAAATTTTACGCGTGGAGAGGACAGTGAATTGTGAAAATTCAGAAGTTTTTGTTTGGTGAAAAGAATACTTTAACCTGATTAACTCAATTAAATATTTCCCTATTTGATCTAAAATCATAACTGAATTTTTTAATCATAATGTTAAATCTTTAATACGTATACCGAAAAAATATAAGTCAGGAGACACAGACCATGTATTTAAAACTTTTAAAGCTGTTTAATATATTTAATACCATTTAAGAAATTTCTGGAGCAAGCTACTTTTTATTTTAAAAAAATATATACGGCATAAAACAGCAGCTTTTTGTAAGTTTACTATTTAAATACAATATCTTATTTTTATATTCCACTGTATTATATACCCTCTGATTCCTCAACAGAAATTGAGATCATTAAGACAATAATTGCGAGAACCATATTTTAATAGCAAGTTATTGTTAAACCATCACGATTGGCTGTTCCAAAATGCTCATCTTCATTCTCTAAACAATTCATGATGAAAAAAGTATCAGCAGCTACAAGACAACGAAGACACTTCTCTATCATGTTTATGGCACTAAAAATTATATACACAAGCACAGTTACCACCTTAGCTAAGGTAATCATGACTCAAAGAACTAAGCCTACCATGTGCCATGAACCGAAACAACAATAACAGCAGAGATATTGGATCATACATAAACTACATGGCATCACATAGGTATCCACACTTTCGTCCTTGTCTAATATACACTTTTAATCATCAAGAATTATATTTTCTTGCTTTACATCAATTCTCAGCCTTGTGATGACATTCTTTCATGAAAAAATTCCATGCTAACCATGCCGCACCAACAGCAGGCTCCACCTGTTGTGCAATAAAACAAACATCTTAAAGACATTGAATATGGATATTTAAAGAACATTTGAACATCGATTCTTCAAGTTATTTAATGGATGTTCTACAGAAAGTGTTGTTATATTCCAAATAGTATATCTTCTAGTTTCAAAATGTCAAAAATACTATCTTTGAAACAATTTACAAAAAGGGATTTTATCTTATATGCAATTGTTTTAAAAAAGATAAAAGATTATCTCCAAAATAAAATGATAAATATGCTGACCTTAGGTCTAATGGGAATTACCCCAGGAAACTGTTTGGTAATACAGTTAATTACTTCTTTTCCTATATCCCAGCTCCCCCTATGTGCTGTCAGAACACCACCAACCATCACCAGGGGAAAGCCACTCTTTCCATCTGCCAAAATTACAGACTACAATTCATTGCACAATTTTCATTACAGAAGGAGAAAATATCAATAATCCATGTAAATGATCCAAACATTCATGCCAAAGAACACTTCTATATTTTACAAGAATGTTTTGGAGGCCAACTCAATTAGTACAAATTTTAATCAATTGTCAATACAAGATAGCATTAGATGTTTGTTTGGATGAACTTCTCCATAAACTCTTATAGGAGATAAAACAAGGAAAAAATGAATTTAATTTCTCTAAAAGTTAAAATTAGCTTATGCACAAGTTAAACACAAAAATATAGAGAAACTATGAGAGAATTTTTACAAGTTTAGCCTATGGAGAAGCTAATCTCATCTTTTCCCCCTAAAAGGAGCTTATGGAGAAGCTCATCCAAACTGACTATAAATGTTATGCACTAAAAATGACAATAATATAAATACCCTAACCTTGACCAGACAATCCAAGTCTTTTTACAACAGCTTTGACACTTGAAGCTAGCTCTTGGACAGATTCTAGTAAGATATTATTTGCAACCTCATCCCCAGCCTCTGCACAGATCACTACATTTGGAACGAGGGCTGCAATGCGGGCCCAGGAGGGATCTGCATATGTCCATCTGAGCATAGCATGATGACATTAAATTGCATTACATTCACAAAATAACTTCCAACTTAAAATTTCTCATCTTTGAAATATAAGTCAACTTAGTTTGCATTTGCTGCGTGGATAGACTAGGTAGTAAGTTTTAGCTCTTAGATAAAGACACACGGATGGTTCTCTTGTTGCATTTCTAACAGTAAGATTTTCAAATACTAGCTATTTACTTCACAATAAATGAACAATTATACAACTATAATATATACCCAATTATTTCTTCTGCAGAAGAAAGACCAAGTTTTTGCAAAATACTACTTGCAAGCATTGTACTTGGACCACGACCATCATAAGCTCTTACTACTGCAGTTAGCGCCTTTGCAGCTATTCCATATGCACTGCAAATAATAAAGCAAACTTTCAACCAAGCAATAGATGGAATCAAGTTGGACATGAAGAGAAAGACGCTCCTCATGGCTCTTTTTATATCTTTTCTACTCATATGGGAGATGACAATATATATGATGCAGAAAGAGCTTTCAAGAAGATTAAGATTGGATCAATTTACAAAGTTAACACCTTTTCCGGCTAATGAAATTATTAGTCTCCATATTACAGTTTTTACTAAAAGCTAATTTTCAAGGTTTGTGTTACCTGCCCCAGTCACCTAGGACAGGTCCGGCACCTGCTGCTCTTGCTTCTTTTCCATCTTCAGTAAATCCATATGCAATGCTCCCTGTGCCAGAAATCAGTACACATCCATGAAGTTTACCCATTGTTCCACTTGACAGAGCAGCCACAGCATCATTCAGAACATGTAACCTCACATGGCTTGGGAATATATCCCTGTTTACATAAGGCCACAGCATGGTTCAGTCTTTAGAATAACAGATAAACTATAATGGATATTAAATGACACATCATATTCAAAGAACTGAACCAGCAGAATGTACAAATAAGATACAGTTTAAATAAGTTTCAATTCTTTACAGATAAGTCCCTCCACTAGCATTGTGGTCCTGGCTTTAGTTATTTTACGCATACTGCTTTGGCAAATTAAAAACAATGAAGAAAGTCAGTTTCTTTCAATCTTATATAAAACCGGTATAATGGAGTTGACTTGTTATATAGGTAAACTAATATAGCAGATGTTTATGTCCTCACTTTCCTTTATAAAGGTTGAGTTCATTAGTAACATTTTTATTCATGATAGGATTAACTAATTTTATTTATGGTCTCTATTTTTTATTTAGGAAGACAATTCTCTTCCATAATATTATGATAAACAACTTAAAACACAGTTGCATTCTTCCACAATTAAATATATAACAAAAACTAACATACAGATCATATATGCCATTAGATATAAAAACACAGTATATTCATTACTTATAAAAGCTAAGAGATAAATAAAATACATAACTTTGTTAGTTTCTTCCAATAGCAAGAGTAAAATAGATTTATATGCCTTCTTATCAACAAAAAAAAAAATGAAGATACACTTAAATAAAGCTTAGCAACCTAAGCCAATTGAGAATTCTTTGTTGATCTGTTGGATGGTTAACACCAGATACAGCCAAACAAACAGCTCGGACTGAAGATCGTTTTGCACCACACTTTGAAAGAGCATCTGCCATAACCTGCTCTATTGTTTCCCTTGCAGCAATCTCTGCAGAAGAAGTGATTAAAGAAAAAAGNTTCTTCTGTATATCACCGCGCGGAATATGCTGTAGACGATTTCCCTTACGAAGAAGGGTCTAAAGGGAACGCCGAGGAAGGACTCGAGATCGCGAAGCTCGGAATCTCTCAGGATATTGTCTCAGCTTTGGCCAAGAAAGGCATCACCAAGCTCTTCCCCATTCAGGTTTGCTTTGCTTCTAAGGGTTTATGCGATGATGCATAGCATGATATGCGGTTTATAAGGATTAAAGACGCGTAGTTTAGTAGCTTTGAGTTATGCTAACGTTTTTTTTAGTTAATTGGGTTGTTGTATTGCAGAGGGCCGTGCTGGAACCTGCCATGCAAGGTCGTGATATGATTGGTCGAGCTAGGACTGGAACTGGGAAGACTCTTGCATTTGGGATACCCATCATGGATAAGATCATTCAGTTTAATGCGAAGCATGGGTTGGTTCTATATTTTTATGTTATCGTGATACTTATGCTTCCTTATTACCTAAATTTTGCACTTGTTTCTCTGTTAGAGTTGAATGTGGACTTGGTAATTCATGATGGTGTGGATATAATCATGGAAATGTTATTTGTGTCTTTAACTATACATTTTTTTTGTGTGATTGATGTTGCAGGCGGGGGAGGGATCCTTTGGCTTTAGTTCTGGCTCCAACTAGGGAGCTTGCTAAGCAGGTTGAGAAGGAATTCTATGAGTCGGCACCTAACTTGGATACAATTTGTGTTTATGGGGGTACGCCAATCTCTAAGCAGATGAGGCAGCTCGATTATGGGGTTGATATTGCTGTGGGAACACCTGGTCGGATTATTGACCTTCTCAACAGAGGTGCTCTAAATCTGAAGGAAGTTCAATTTGTTGTTCTTGATGAAGCTGATCAGATGCTTCAAATCGGCTTCCAGGAGGAAGTGGAGAGGATCTTGGAAAGGTTGCCCGCCAAACGTCAGACTCTTATGTTCTCTGCAACAATGCCATCTTGGATAAAGCAGATTTCACGCAATTACCTGAATGATCCCCTGACAATTGATCTAGTAAGCTTGAAACTCCATTCTAGGCACTAGGACAATGCCTGTAACCTGTGCAATTCTGAGATATCATTTAGTTTGATTTGAATATAATGTACAAAATAAACACAGTAGATTATGTTGTGGGGCGCATGAACTTCTTTGAGTAATTAGTTTATCATGTTTTAACGTCTCTACATTGTGGGCATGTGTGGGAGTACACGAGAGTTATTTTATAACTGTAAATTTATTGGTGCTGTAGGTTGGAGATTCTGATCAGAAGTTAGCAGATGGAATTTCACTGTATTCCATTGCATCTGACTTATATGTTAAAGCGGGAATTCTTGCGCAGCTAATAACAGTATGCCTTCTGAAACCATCATTTACTGACTTGATTGGTAGTTCTGATTAGTGATTGTTAATGTGTTTGAAAACCACCTCACTAGTGGTCAATCATAGCCTGCCTTAGTTGCATTGTGTTAGGAGGTGGCTGCCTCAACGGAAACCTCAATGGTGGTGCTTAGTCCCTCCTCAGCTAGAGATATGATATAAAATTAAATAGAGCTTGTAAAGGTTGACGAGTCCTTACTTTATAAGTAAGTTTTGTGGAGTTGTGTTAGGTTTCAGAGCTAAATTCCTAGACTAAAATTACTGTATTGCAAATAGGTTTCTGGAGTTTTATTACGTTTTTCCCTTAAGCTTTTACTAGAATATATATGTGTGTGTAATTAGAGGGTGAGCATTGGTGCAAGGGTAAGGTTGGTTCCCTGTGACCCAGAGGTCATAGGTGCAAATCCTGGACACAGCCGCTTGCTTGTGGTGGTAAATCTGTGTACACCCACTGTCCTTAGACCCCACTAGGTGGTAGCCTTCGGCATTAGATTGCCCTTTTATGTATTTTAATTAGAAAAAACTACTTGAGGAAACTTGCTGGATTTCTTTCTTTCTCTCCGTTTCCTAAATATATATCCTTTGTTAGGAACATGCAAAAGGAGGAAAGTGTATTGTTTTCACTCAAACAAAACGTGATGCAGACCGATTATCATATACCATGGCAAAAAGTGTTCAATGTGAGGCTTTGCACGGAGACATATCACAAGCTCAGAGGGAAAAAACTCTTGCTGGCTTCAGAAATGGCCATTTTAATGTTTTGGTGGCAACTGATGTTGCCTCACGTGGGCTTGATATACCCAATGTTGATCTTGTGAGTTCTGTTTTACTGTTTTTTTATTTCTATTGCAAATTATCGTATGCTTGATTGAATTTGAAGACAAGGTATCATTTTCTTGATGATATGTCCTTGACTATTAGTTATTGATTTTTCTTGTCAATGTATTTGATATATTTGATAATCATGCAACACTCTTGGTTTATTCTGTCATCGGTCTGTACTGTTCATGGTTCTGTAAATTTTGGATGTCGCTTAGATTGTATTTCTCTGTTTGATTTCTTATTGTTCCGTGTTTGTAGTCTTTCTCAATGTGCCATTCTTTATGTTTAATGTCATGTGCATATGTAAATACTGTGATATATTATGGAGAATATTGTTATCGTTTCATGCAATTTATAGATACGAAATTTTGACTTGCTTTCCTGTTATAGGTAATACATTATGATCTTCCCAATTCTTCAGAAATATTTGTTCATAGATCTGGACGGACAGGTCGTGCTGGTAAGAAAGGAACTGCTATTCTTGTGTATACAGAAGATCAATCAAGGGCTGTGAGGCTTATTGAGCGTGATGTGGGAAGTAGATTTACAGAGGTGATTCTTTTCCTGGCATCTTATTGAATTTTGTCTATCTTTTCCACTGGAAGTTGTACCTTGTTAATTACTAATTTTATGGTCATTAAGATTGAGGCTACACTATTAGGGAAGCATATATTCCTGTTGCCTAAAATCCCATCCTTCCTATGCACAATTTGATCTAAACCTGTTCATGATTAGTTTGCGAGTCAGATTGCCCTGGAAATTGATAAACTCAATCTGAAATTTTCTCTATTCAATATATCTAAACAGCCAGGGACCTACTATCCCATAGTTATTATTACCGTTTTCCAGTGTTCTCGCTAATATGCTAATTACATGTTAAAGTTTGGTATTTTTTATTTACATAATTATTTATTGGTTGTTTTCTGTTCCTGTATTCATATTTTTCAGCTACCAAGGATAGCTGTTGATAGTGCATCCATGGACACAGTTGGCATGGGTGGTGGGCGGTTTGGGTCTTTCGGAGGAACTAGGGATCGTCGTTATGGTGACACAGGTTTTGGCCGTGGTCCTGGGTCTGGCCGTTCTGGTGGCTACAATAACAGTGGATTTGGCCGCCCCAGCTTTGGAGATTCTGGTGAAAGGTTTGGTGGACAGAATTATAATCGTTTTGGTGGCTCTGGTTCCAGTCAATCAGGAGGGGGGTTTTCTGGTGAAATGAGTAGATATGGTGGACCAAGCTCTGGTAGGTTTGGCTCATCTGGTGGCTTTGGCTCAGGTCAATCAGGAAGCAGATCTGGTCGATCATCCGGTGGGTCTAGGTTTAGTCGTCCAGATGATTTTGGGGGATTTGGTAGTTCAGATCGTTCGGGAGGTTTTGGAGAACTTGGCTCGGGTCAATCTAGTGGCTTTGGTGATTCTCGTGGTAGTAATCAGAACAATAGAAGACCTTTTTAACATAACAATATAAAAAAAGTTGCGCTACCCTTATTTCTTGGTGGTTTAGTTCTTCTAGAGTTTGCATCTGTCACTTTCTCTGAAACTTAAAGGCGGCTTCTTGGCTAGTCCTTGTATTACTAATTAGTAAGAATTTGGGAAGGTCATACAATCAGAAGTTCTACGAGCATAGGATATTTCTTTTCTGGGACTTTTGGCTCAGTCTTAGGTCTGTTATTTTTTGAAAACATCTATAAAAAGGAGAAAGGAAGGCTGTATTCTGAGGGTTCCACCTCCATCCATGGACATTGAATCTCACAATGATCCTGAAAATGTGTACACACGTATATGCGTGCATGAAAAGTTTTGAAGAGGGAGCTGTATGAAGTGGTGATTCAATTTATTTAGTGTATTTATGTTGCTTAAAGTAGTTAATGGGAGGTGCTTTGGATAATCATGTGGAGATATGCTGTACTATTTTATACTGAAATTATTATGCAAGAAATTTCTCATCTAATATGTAATTTGACCTAAAAGCAATTTAATTTTCGCCCCTTCACCCTGGGTTACATCTGGGGGTTCATAAATAGTCTGAGAATCATGTGTATTAGATCCTGTCTTTCCTGGTTTTTATTTTCGGCCTAAAACAGATGCAAGCTCCATTAATCCAAGAGGTCTAGAAAGTAATGTTTATAAAAATAAACACAACAGTGACAGAAATTTGTTTTCTGAAAATTCGGAAGGAGAATTATACCAAATTTTACGCGTGGAGAGGACAGTGAATTGTGAAAATTCAGAAGTTTTTGTTTGGTGAAAAGAATACTTTAACCTGATTAACTCAATTAAATATTTCCCTATTTGATCTAAAATCATAACTGAATTTTTTAATCATAATGTTAAATCTTTAATACGTATACCGAAAAAATATAAGTCAGGAGACACAGACCATGTATTTAAAACTTTTAAAGCTGTTTAATATATTTAATACCATTTAAGAAATTTCTGGAGCAAGCTACTTTTTATTTTAAAAAAATATATACGGCATAAAACAGCAGCTTTTTGTAAGTTTACTATTTAAATACAATATCTTATTTTTATATTCCACTGTATTATATACCCTCTGATTCCTCAACAGAAATTGAGATCATTAAGACAATAATTGCGAGAACCATATTTTAATAGCAAGTTATTGTTAAACCATCACGATTGGCTGTTCCAAAATGCTCATCTTCATTCTCTAAACAATTCATGATGAAAAAAGTATCAGCAGCTACAAGACAACGAAGACACTTCTCTATCATGTTTATGGCACTAAAAATTATATACACAAGCACAGTTACCAC